ATTCCATTGTGGTTTATAAACTGCTTTATCAATGCAGGGGAACTGAAAAGTGTTGTCATGCTATGGCAGCTTTCCTCACATCTCACATGGGGTCTTCTTTTGTTATCACCAGGGTTCAAGAGGTAAGTTGGCAAGGTTCTATTTTACTGTCAGGAATATATATATATATATATATATATATATATATATATATGGCACATATATATTTTTTATATGGGGAGGGAGAGTGGGAAACATTAAATCATTTATCTGGACAATACCCCATTGTGAATATTTACTTTTTTGCTATGCCTAGGGTTAAGTGCTTTATGTGCATTATATCATTTTAATCCTCACAATGACGTGACATAGTCTGTACCATTAGCTTATACATTTTTCCTGATGTAGAAGTTAAAGCAATAATTGGCAGAATCAGGATTCATACCTACTCTGTTTGATCCTAAAGCCTTGCTTCTAAAGGTGATGTTATTCTGCTCACTTTGTGCATTGGGAAGAAACTCAGCCTGAAGTCAGGAGTTCTGGCTTCCATTTTCCTATCTGCCCTTAATGAGCTGGGTGACCTTGGACAAGTCAGTCTACCAAATGGGCCTTTATTGTCCGATCTGACAAATGAGGACTGGAATAGATAACTCCTGAGGTCCCTTGAGGTTCAATGTTCTATGATTCTAGGTATTTGGGTTTGGGATCAGGAGTTCAATTTTTCTTTAATGTCAGCAGGTCTAAATCTTTCTTTTTGTGGGGGGGATGCATTTTATCACAGACTTCAGTCACCAAAGCCTCCAGCAGCAAATCAAGAATAAAGAGAAGGGGTGGTTTGTAGGTGCAATGAAGGAGAAGTTCCTTCTACCAGATAGTTAGAAAATGGTGAAATTTGCATTGAAAGTATATTATTAGTAGTAGAAAATAATGATTAATGCCATTTCATGTTCTTTTCACAAGTCATGGTAGATAATGAACAATGATAACACTATGCATGATTGCTGATCCTTGTGACATTCAAAATAGATTCAAAATTCCTCTTCCACATACAGGACTCAGTTAGGGCGCTATATTAAATTCAAACTTAGGGATCAGATTTAAAATTCAAATGCATATCCTTTTTGCATATCTATTTTGACACAGCATTACAAATTACTCACTGTAATATGAATTAAAGATGGACTTTTGCACAATGGGGGAAACATTAAAAAAATCCTATTTAAATTTAAATCCCCCTTTTCCCTTTTCAGATTCCCCCCATATTTATCCCTCAATATATCTGCTAATTATCAAAAGTACTGCTATTTAAACAGTAATTTGTTCATTCACATTTTATTATTTTTTGCTGGTAGTGACTGCCAAGAAACAATGTTGATATCTTGAATTACAATGAGCTCATTGTAACGTTCTTAAATGAGAGAATTTTAAAAGTACTTTGTCCTATCTACATTTTAGTATTTACCTAATGTACATAGTGTAGAAAAAAACTGATGTCAAAGAAGGACAGAGCAGCAAATGTGCTTTTAAGTATATTATAATAGAGCCAGTGAAATGTGCAAAATGACAAATTAAATTTAATGTTCAGGTGCACTGCCAATTTGTTTGGGGGGTAAAAAGCAACACCCTTTGCTAACCCGATAAGAATTAATCAGATTTTAATTACTCTATGTGCAACCTGGACTGTTTAGCACATTTATGCCGAGTAATCACTGGGGCATCTCTAGCCAAATGGCTGAAAATTTCCATCTTTTAAATTATGGGTATGGTTCTCTGTTAATCATTTTTGGACCTTCTAATTTTTCTTTCTTTCTTTCTTTCTCTCTCTCTCTCTCTTTTTTTTTTTTTTTCAATTTCATTTATTCTGACACTAATAATTTCCTGTGGGTTTTTGTTTTTTAACAGAGGGGAACAGTATGCTGTTTCGTGTAAATGAATGTGATGCCCATCTCAGTACTCAGACCCTAATGTTGTTTTTCCAGTTTTGTGGAAATATCCTCCCTGCTTTCATCTACCAGGCAAACTTATGGAGGTCAGGGGCACAGTTTGTCACTACAGAGATGGAGCCTGACATTTTGGCCTCATTAACGTGGCACTATAACAAAGCGAGTGAACCTCAAACCTAATTTAGCAAAACAACAAACCCCATAAAAAAGGGCAGGACAAGAAAATCAGAGGTGCTTCCAATAAACTTTTATTATTGAACTTAAAAATCTTTCTTAAAATTGCCAGAAGCTTCCCAGCTTTGTGCTGGTACTCAGGAATTTCCACTCACAAATGCCAGTAAAGTTACCACAACAGGCCCAGTAGATACAATGAAATCCAGAATTGCATTCATTTTTGTGCTTCTTCGATTCCTGGAGGTCCTTGTCTAGCCTTCAATAAAATCAACCCTGGACTAATCAATGAGAAATTGTAGAGAATATGAATCCTGCAAAATCAATAATTTGTATAATAATTACACAAGTATATTAGAGAAGCATGGTAGTGCATAGCCAAGCAAATCCCAGGGAACATGCTCTTGAAATCTTTATAACTCAGCCAAATATGATGAACTTTTGCATACCTTGCTCTGGTATAGGATGATCCTGGAGTTTCATAGAATTTTGTAAGGTTTTCCTCAATTTATGCAAATTAATAAAATGAACCCATATCACTTCTGTTGTTAGTGAGTAGAAATGTTTAAGTGAACTTTATTTTTTGTTAATTTATATTTTCTACTTTTTCTTTTTAAATTAAATTAAATTTTTTTATTGTGTTATGTTAGTAACCAAACTTTAAAAAAAAAAGAGACCTAATGGTTCTAGATGTGGGTTTCCATCCTATATCTGAAATACCACATCTACTGTCTTCCCCAACACAATTCATGTCAGGAATTCCAGTAACTGCTCATGGCTGTGTTGTCATGATCTGCCCCAAGACTCCTCCTCTTATATCAGCTGAGGTCACTAATCTCATTGTTTTCCTCAACCCAAAGCTGTGGTGTCATGAAGAGAAACCAGAATCAGAACCAGTAGAGTTAGGACGGAGCCAAAAGCCCTGTCAATCTCTCTCAGCCTCAGTTTCCTCATCCCTAAAATGGAGGTTACAAGATTGCTGAGTGTATAAGGTGAAATGTTGATAAAAGTGCTTTCTAAACTATTTGCCTTTGTAGTCTCTGGATGACTTCTTGATCTGGAGTAAGTTTATCTCTGAGTAGAGGAGTCACAGAGAGGACTGTGATGGGTAATTTTATGTGTCAACTTGACTGCACTAAAGGATGTCCAGGTAGCTGGTAAAACACAATTTCTGGGCCAAGAGCCTACAATGAGCCCTCCCCTTTCTTGTGAGCTTCACTTTATCTGTGTAACTTCCTCTTTCCATTCCTTAGCCCTACTAATTTCAGTCATTTTAGCCACCTAGAACTCTACTCCTTGCTTCCTCAGCTCAGTGAGACTGCCAATCTCCAGTGGACCTCTTTGTGTGTTTCCCTCCTCTCAAAGAAAATAACCCTGTGCTGTTGGCCTTTCAGTGTCTTAAAACAGTCACTTTATATACTTTGTCCAGGTGTAGAATTGTCTTTAGCAGAAAGCAAATCTGGTACTAGTTATTTTGTAATAACTGGAAGCAAAAGTATTTATCTAGACTATTTTACTCTAAATTGTATACAAATTTTTTATTCCTCGCAGTTTTAATACATTGAGCCTCTGTCTAATATCACTGCTAGAACCTATCCAACCAAGAAGTGAATTTGGTTTGAAAAAGAAATGCTTAGAACAAAGAAAGATGCTGGTTTCAAATTGTTAAGTTTCAACTACTGTAGAATGAGGGTGCCCTAATCTGAGAACAAAGAGAAGATAACCAGACAGCAGTGCTACTCAACAGGATTTTCAGGCAAAATTATGAAATTATCCAACAACTCTAAGGTTTTAAATTAAAATGTCTTAATTTAAGCTATGACTTCACACATGTAGCAACACCTTTGTGACTCCATTTAATATAAACCAGTATTTTGAAAGTAAACATTGAATAAAAGCACTTTCTCTTCTATCTTCTATCTATCATCTATCTATCTATCTATCTATCTATCTATCTATCGTTACCTACCTCTCACTCCTTGTCTCATTCTGTAACATTTATTTAACAGTTACTCTATGTTAAGTACATTACTACTACATCATGTTTAATCTTCACAAAAAAAACCTTTAACATTAAGTAAACTTCCCAAGATTATTAGTAATCTTAGGTAAGTAAGTCAAAGATCAAATCTAGACATTTGATACTGCTGTTATAAGTGTTTCAAGTAATAGGAGGTGGATGTTTTTAGAGAAAGACAGTGAATTCTGAAAGTTTACAGTCTGTACAATAGATTTTTGATGTTCATTCTAGCCTTGTGACAAGTTGTGTTTTAGGGATCCACTAGTAAGGGTACCCCCAGACGGGATCCACTAAATTTATTCTCACATTGTATAAAAATGACATAAAATATAGATGAGGAAGGAAATTTACCACATCACAGTTTATTGTTTGCTTGAGGTTATAATATTCCTCATCCAACTATTTCTGGCCTCGCAGGAGAATCTTTCATGGCATATTATGTTCTGAGAACATGCCAGCTCAGATGTAAACATCTGATCTGAAAATCATGACTCATTTCTTATTTCTCTTCTCTTTGTGTGCTTCTTCATCTTGCCAAGTCCCAGGATTGTGTCTTGGTTTAACCTTAAAATCTACAACATCACTTATGTCCATACAGAACCAACAACACAACGTGCATGTACTAAAAAAAAATTTCACAACCACTTATTTTTTTCCCATTGAATGCACCAATAATGGTTGGATCATTATTTAAAAAGTTTTGTGCCAGTTTTTTTTTAAAAAAAAAAAAAAAAAAAAAAAAAAAAGATCAGTTTATGGTTATTGGTGTATACCACAGCAAAAATTTACCATTGCCTATGTCATGTAGCTTAATGGTACTCAAGACTATTGAGTTCATTTTTGAGAAGACACCCACATTTTCAGCTTATGTTTCTCCTTTGTGTTCACTTCCTTTGGTATTTCTAGAACTCAACTGCAGGAAGACAACTATGTTTGAGGTTGCCAGTAAAGCAAGGTGAGGAAGTAACAAAGAAGAAAACAAGAGTCACAAATAAGAGTAATGTTAAGTACAGAAGTTACTCTCATTGCTCTTACATCCACAAACAAAGGAGAACTCCTGGAACAATTTGCTGGTCAATTTAGTAAATAATGTGCAGTTTATAAAAATATAAACTGTAAGCTGTATGATACATCTTTTCCCTTAAATTAGTTAATGAAACTCTCTTTGCGAGGAAGGAAGTTGGGGGTTGAGATCATGTCAGCTGTAACCTTGTTGGTTTACTAGGTTTGTCTTGATTGGTTCTCTGGAACTCCATTAACCTGCTTTCCATCTAGAGTCAAAGACGTGATCTGTTGTTGAACTTAGAAAGAATTTTGCCATTATAGACCGTAAGAAGCAGAGGGTGGGTTTTGCTTTTCCAATTGAAACTCTTATAGAGCTGGGACCAGGTCTTATATTACTTCTCTTATTTCCCCACTGTTCTTGGAACCGGCCTCTGTACCCAATTAGTATTTAATAAATACCTGTCTATTTATGGACTTTGAGACTTGGAAATGTAGACTATCATGAGATCAACAAGGGATTATGCACAAGGGAGAAACAGCTCAAAAAAGAGAATTTCTCTTTGTTTTATTTTTTAGTAGGTTTTTTTGTTTCAGATGAAACTTTTTAGTCTCATTTAATATGTAATTTTACTACATTTATAAGTATGATAAAAGTATGACTTCAGATAGCAAATTCTGTTAGTCATTTCCTTTCAGATAATGTCCTTGGCTTGGGAAGGTATCTAAATGCATTTAGATGCTAGCCAAATTCATTTTATCTTGGTAGGTAAGATGCTTATTAGCTATGTATCCTTATAAATACAATAGATATCTCTTATAGTGAGAAGACTTTTTTTCTCTGTTAAAAACTAAACTCTGCAAAGAAGTTTCTGTATATTTTCAATAGGATTTGAATTTTCATCTGTATATGTATTCTTAATATTCTTTTGGGGACCTTGATATAGTAGGGCAAGGGGAATTTTTTTTCTTCTTTCAAGGTACATTGAATTACAGAAAAAAAATCACTTGAGGGTAACATCATTAAAAGCCAACATAGTATTATACTCATTAATTCCACAAAGATTAAAAAGAATAAAAATTTACATTATCAGTTTATACAGAGAAGTTGGGAGAAGAAGGAATGAAGGCTTTTTGGTCCCTCTCAGTGTTTTTCATAAATGTCTACCCACAAAGCTTCAACAGAAAGGTCAAGTGATTGATGGTAGATCCCAGGGTCTGCTATCCCAACTTGAATTTTGCATTGTAGATTCAATTGTAAAAATAATATTTGTCTCTCACCAGTTAAATAACAATTTTATTCCCCAAGTTTTCAACTATAATTGAAAATTGTGGGTTAACAAACCATATGCATACTATGAATATGGGTATTTTCTGACATTATTTTTTGTAACCCTGTGGAATAATAATACTCTAGTTTGAAAAACATGGTACTGTAACACCTTATAAAAATATTATTACAGTGAATTTTAGTTATTTTTTCACATTGTCTCCTCCATTACATTCTGAGTTCCTTGAGGTCAGGAACTGGATCTCATTTTTCTCTGTATAAACAGAGGCTAGTTTAGTGTGTTTCAAACAATAGCATATAGTATTTGTTTGCCAAATGGAATTAAATTAGGGCATATTTTACACTTGGGCTGTAAAAGGTTCATTCAGACTGAGAGCATCTTTGAGGAAAATGACTCTGGTGATAATTGTCGACAGTTTGTTTTATTTAGTTTATAAGATGTGTTGTGGTTGAAAGGAAAGGTTGGAGCAGTTGACAGGAGAAAGTTAACTTGGCTGAATGTGCATTCTTGGAGCAGGTCTCCAAGGTACGGTCTGAAACCACCCAGAGGGCCGTGGGGGCCATGACATGGTCAAAGGAGGTTTGTCTTTTCATTAGTTATTTTTTTTTTAAATGATACACAAGTCTCTAGACTTTATTAAAAGAAGTATTCCAAGTTATATTAATCTGCTAGGACTACCATAACAAAATACCACAGACTTAATAAACAATAGACATGTATTTCTTATTGTTCTGGAGCTGGAATTCCAAGATCAAGGTGCCAGCAGGTTTGGTTTTTCCAGAGGCCCCTTCCCTTGGTGTGCAGGTGGCGGTCTTCTCTCTGTGTATTCACGTGGCCTTTCCTCACGTGTGCGTGCCCATTCCTGGTGCCTCTTCCTTTCCTTCAGTATTGAATTCCAGCACCGCCCTTCCCACTTCGTTTAACCTTAATTCCCTTCCCGAAAGCTCTATCTCAAATGATAGGCACATAGGACCCTTGAGGGGATACAGTTCAATCCACATAAAGGGTTAGTAAAAGTCACTTATAAACAAGCTATGAATCCAGTTGTTCAAGGTGATCATGTTACTTGACATTCTGGCAGAGTTGGGTTTGCATTCTAATATGAAGCCTGGCAGCCATGTATATTCATGTACCTGTGGCATGTGTATTTTTGCCAGCATAGCCTCAATTCCCCTTCTCCTTGGTGGCACTGTCCATCATAGTGCCAGCCCTCCACTGGCCAAGGTGTAAGCACATGGCTTGAGCGAGGCTGGTTAGATGTCTTCCTGAAATTTCACTCATTTGTGTAGTGGGCCAAAAGAGAAGTGGCTGCATCAGAAGATACCTCTCCATAGCTCATTGGGCACACTGTCCCTTCTTTCCTGCTGCCTGTCACTGATGCTCCCTGGTTCCTGTTCTTTCCAAACACATTGGTTTCTCTGTCATTTCCTTTTCAATGAATTTCCTCTCTTCCTCTCTCTGGATAATGTTGTTGAAGTTACCCAGTATTTGTTTCTGTTGCTTTAAATAATAATAACTCTACTAGTTACATGCTGTTTGTTTACCATTGTCATAAAACTCTATTCTTACATATTTACATGTGGGTAGAATTTCTGAACTTGTAGATAAGATGCTTTGTTATCTGTGTCTCACTAGCGTGGTCTGGGATGAGTCACAGCATCCAGTGGCTGCTGTTACATAAATACATAATTAGATTTTTAGAAAAGGTTTTGCTTTGATTGGTCACTTTGGAAAATCCCTGTATTATTATCGTGTTAAATGTCACTCGGTTCTGCTCTAATTCTTCATTCTCATGGTTCTTTTGAGGGGAAGCTAATGATAGGAAGGTCATGGGGTCTTTCCCCTGGGAAAGTAGGACTTGGATCAAAAATTCAGAGTACCATTGTGTCAGAGGGATGGTCCATTATGTTCCTGTTCTTTGGACACTGATCCAGAATATGGTTAAGCAGCAAAAGACTATACCATTTTTGTATACAAATATTGACAAAGCAGGGAAAACAGAAAAACCAAGTGATAGGTATAAAACCAATTGTCTGCTTAATAAGTAACCAGTCCTTTTGGGGGCAATACATAGTCAAGGGAGTAAGTTGTTTTTTTTTTTTTTTTTTTTTTTTTACTTAGAAAAAAAGGCACAGAGTATTGGAGCCCCCAAGGATGCTTTGCTTCTATAGCTGTGGAGATGATCATGGTCTCAGCCAGTCAGGGCCAAGCACCATGTGAAGAGGGAGCAGATTCTTTGTGCAGTTCTGGAAAGCAAAGGACTGCCATAGGCATCTGTAATAACAGGGAATGCCAGCATGGGCATAGGTTCAAAGAGAACTGGAAACCATCAGTACTTATGACAAACAAAAATAGAGAAATAGAAGAGGTTTTGGTGCTAGAAGCACCAAAGCTCTAAATTGTACTTTATTATAGTTAAAAAATTTCCCCTTCCAAGTTTAATTTCAAAGTATAAAATGATTCTGCATACATTGCTTTGAATGAGTTTGTTAAATTCTTGAGTGTGAGAAAGTAGACCATAGATCTAGGGCTACCTGTGATGAGTAATATTGCTACCTGTGGCCTATAAACCACCTACAGACTCCAAGGGCTTAGAAAAGGTAAGAGGAGAGAGTACAGCCCCAACGTACCTAAACCTACACTATATTGTAACAAGTGACAAAGTCTGGGATTAATTATAATATTATCGTTGATCTTTGGAAGACTGCTTCTACTTAAAACAGACCTTTCAGTGCTGGATATTACCTTTATGTCTTTTAGTTTCAAATTCCAAATGATGTTTTTAGAGTAAATATTTATTTCCATGGAGCAGACTTTGCTCATGTACCAAGTAAGGCTTAAATTTTAGGAATTCGCTTTTGAAGTCACAGTTCCTTCAAAGGGTTAAGAACTTTAGAATAGACTTTTTGATAGGCAATTTTTGTTCTTGAAGAAAATAAGGCCTGCTTTATTCAGGCTGTATTTGAGAATTAAATTTCTAAACCTGAACCTCCCCATTATCCCCAAATCATTTTCTTTGGTGTTCTAGTTGATCTCATTGCTTACCATTCTTCAAGCCCTTCTAGCGATTTGAAAAACACCCAGTTCTCTGAATTTAAATACAATCTACTTGAAATACTTAGAGTGGTTTCCATTTTCCTGTACAAATCCATTCTGATACAGTGAGTATGTGAGCATAATATAGCAGGGTACAGAAAGAGGAGACCAGGAATCTCAGACAGACTTGTCTTGATTTTCAGTGTTGCCTAGGGCTACTGTGTTTACCTTCAATCAGATGGGGACAAGTTAAAACTATGTGTGCAAGACATTTGAGATGGGCACACATACAGCTGACCCAGAACAACATTCTTAAGTGAACCATTACAATTCTGCATCTGTAGACCTAGATAACATTAGTCTTTGGTTTTTAGCCTGCATAATACTTGAAATTGGGCTTTGTCCTAGTGGAGTCTTCAGCCCTCTGTGAAAGACAGGCAACACCCAGTGTCCCCAGGCTATCTTTGCAATTGTTTTGCTGGAGCTGAGTGGTTTGGATCATCTGTTTCTTAGAGGGACAGAATGCAAGGCTGGTCAAGTTGGATCGTCAAGCTTGAGTAGACAGACTTGGCTGGTGGGATGCCCACTTCTCTACCATGCTTATCCTTCTAGAATTTGTTCATTT